AAAAAAAAAAAAAAGAACACTCACATAGTTCTGCTCTTATTCTTTTCCTACCTGCCTGGGTCCTCAGAAGAAGACAAATAGAAAAGAGACAGAGCCAACTCATGGAGGCCTATATCAGATGTGTATCATGAGCAAGGAATACATTTTTACAATTGAAATCCAGAAATTTAGGGATTGGTTGGTTACTGCAGCATAACCTAGCAAATTCTTACTAAAAATAAAATTGGTACCTAGAATTGGAGTGCTATGGTAACAAAAAGACCTAATATGTGTGGCATTGGCTTTAGGACAGGGCAGGGGGTGGTGAAGAAACTGTTACTGGGTGCTGGAAAGATGGCAGGCCTTATTATGCAGTGGCAAAGCATTTGGTAAAATTGTTGCTTGCATAACTTAGAAGGAAGATGAAACTCTGAATGAACTTGTGCTGTAAGGGGAAGAAACTGAGAAGAAGGTTACTAGTATGTTTTGATGCTATTGGCTGCATTTGGCAAGGTACTACACAAAAGATATAAGCTCAGGAAAGAATTGGCCAATTCACAAGGAGAGTGGAAATGCAAAAAAGGATCCAGAAATTTCAGGAATTATAAGATTAAGAAATGCAGCTGTTTATCATATTCAAAAGGTAAAAGATAAAAATGAAAAATGCTTTGAATGATGTTTCATTACAATTCAGCCTTGGAAAAAGAGCAAATCAAGTATGTGAATATCATGCCATTTGTGGAGCTCTCTTAATTGATTTAAGATGGTACCCAATAAATCCTGCCAGCTGGACAAATGTACTCAGGAAAAAAAAAAAAAAAACTAAAGTAGTAGCTCTTCCACAGAAGCCTGATAAGGGCAAGGTACTTCTAATTAGGTCTAGAAAAAGATGTATGTCTTGCATTGGGAAAGGCTACTGGATCCCGAGATAATTGAAACCAAAGATATAAGAAGCAATTATGTATTCAGAGTGTTGTGCTGCTAAGAACTACCAGCCTGGATTAAAAAAGACTGTAACTATGTGAGACTTAAAATGCTCCCACATTCCTCAGGCAGGAAGCAGGCTGAGAATGCTGCTCAGTTCCCAAAGAGGTTGTGGTCCCCAGTGCCCTTTTCAAATGTGCCCAGAGAGAATAATGGAAGAGGAAGGACCTCACAGAAGGCTGGGCCAAGAGCCCTGCCAAAATGGAGATTGGGCAACTACTCCCGCAGAGCAAAAACAGGGCTTTATTTATTTATCTATTTATTTAGACAGAGTCTCACTCTGTTATCTTGGGTAGAGTGCTATAGCATCCTCATAGCTCACAGCAGCCTCAAACTTTTGGGCTTAAGTGCTTCTACTTGCCTCAGACTCCCAAGTAGCTGGGACTATAGGCGCCCGCCACAATGCCCAGCTATTTTTTGTTGTTGTGATGGTGGTAGTTGTCATTGTTGTTTAGCAGGCTCTGGCTAAGTTCAAACCCACCAGCTCTAGTGTATGTGGCCACCGCCATAACCAGTAAGCTACGGGCACCAAGTCAACACCCAGCTGTTTTTAAAGGTGAGGTCTCCCTCTGGCTCAGGCTGGTCTCGAACTCATGAACTCAGGCAATCCACCTGCCTCGGCCTCCCAGAGTGCTAGGATTACAGGCATGAGCCACGGCACCCAGCCCAAACATGGCCTTATCAAAGAACAACCCCTATTCCCAGGGATTTGCAACATTTGTCTAGCAGGATTTCCAGATTGCTATGACTCAATGTCTGCTGTGTGCCTCCCATTCCTTCCTTTACTGAGAGTGTTTACTGTGGTTATCCCGTTTCATTATTGTATGCTGCTGAGTATGTAGAGGAGGCAAATGACTTGTCTTTTTAGTTTTGTAGGTTTCTCGATCAAGAGGAGCCATGTTCAGACCCAATACAGAAACTATCATGAGATCCTAGATTTGAAAGCCTGAAGTCATGTTTGGGTAAAACTTTTAGGTAGTCATATTGGGGTAGAACTTTTCCCTGGAAAGCGGGTTGGTGTATTTTACTTGTGGAAGAAAAGAAAATGAATATTTTGGTCAAGTGGTGCCAGGTTATATTATTGTTTCCAGGGATTTTTTGCCCTCTCTTTAACATTATATAATCTCACTTGTTACCATGTGGTTTTCCTTTTTTGTTTTTATTTTTGTTTGTTTGTTTTTGAGACAGAGTCTCACTCTGTGGCCCTGGGTAGAATGACATGGCATCATAGCTCATAGTAACATCAAACTCCTAGGTTCAAGTGATCCTTCCTCCTCAGCCCCCCAAATAGCTGGAACTACAGGCACCTGCCACAATGCTAGGCTAGTTTTTCTTTTTTTAGTAGAGACAGGATCTTGCTCTTGGTCAGGCTGGTTTCGAACTCCTGAGCTCAAGCAATCTCCCCGCCTCAGCCTCTCAGAATTGCTGGGCCACCAGCCCAATTGACCAGGTGATTTTCTTTTTCTGTTTTTGCAGTTTTTGGCTTGGGCTGGGTTTGAACCAGCCACCTCTGGCATATGGGGCTGGTGCCCTACTCCTTTGAGCCACAGGTGCCACCCGACCAGGTGATTTTCAGTATCTCCCTTTGGGACAGCATACTTCCCCACCCCATGATGTCAGGCTTGGCTATGTGTTTTTTCTCTGTCAGTAAAATGTAAACAGTAGTGTATTTAAGACCTGAGTGGAAGCTTTAAAAAATATAAAAATATCAAATGACTGGGCCAGGTGGCTCGCGCCTGTAATCCTAGCATTCCAGGAGGCCAACGCAGGTGGCTTGCCTGAGCTCAGGAGTTTGAGACCAGCCTGAGCAAGAGAGAGATCCCATCTCTAAAATCTAGCCGGGTGTTGTGGCAGGCGCCTGAAGTCCCAGCTATTTGGGAGGCTGAGACAAGAGAATCCCTTGAGCCCAGGAGTTTGAGGTTGCTGTGAGCTATGACACCATGGCACTCAAGCCCAGCATGACCGAGTGAGACTCCAATCAAAAGCAAATAGTTCTACCAATGCTCATTTCCTTCTGTCATGAGAAAGGAACATCCTAGAGAGACGCTACACCTTTTTCCTGGATCCCAGAATGAAGAAGACACACTAAACAGCCAAGATAGTACACAGGAAAGAACTAAACCTTGGTATTGCAAGTCACCGTTTGGACCACCACATAATCCAGTCAAAACTAATCAAGAGAGGGGTCTATGGAAAGAATCAGAGGAAGATCCTCTCTTTGGCTCCTTCTGTGCCTTCTCTCTCTTATCATCTCCTATCTGCTTAATGAGTATCTTTTCTGTTAAAAACTGGACCAAGATGCTACCTCCCAGTCTCTCTGAACTTGTGGATTACATGGACTTCGGAGCCTGTTTATGGGTTAAAACTTTTTTCCCCACCTCTTCTCCAAACCCTTATATTCCAAGAGTTCCCCAGATTGGGCCTCGGCCTGCTTCAGAGCTTTGCCAAGTGAAATCTACCTGCTGCCAGGTAACAAAGGGGGAAGTAGGGAGAAGAAAGGGCAGTGGTTTGGGGGTCCAAAAGGATACTCCCTCCACCGCTCACTGATGTCAAATGGTTCATTACTATCCCCATGTGGCCTATAAGCTGCAGGATTACAAAATAATCCCCAAGACCCATCTTCCCTAGCTTAGATCACTCTGGCCTCACCAAGGCTGCGGGCACGGTGAACAGTCCAATAGATATTCAGGCAGGTAGCTTGGTTCTTCATGCGACGGTGGCATGTGCACCCTTTCAGAGAGCTGTTCCTGAGTTGCTGTGCTGCCTCTAGGCAGTCTGCAGGGACTGAAGGCTCCTCTGAGGGCAATGGGGTGCTTATACTAGAGGTGCAGGAATCCAGGTGTTGGTAGGCCGCGTTGCATGTAGGGTCAGCCTGGCACTTCCTCCTGGCCTGGATACAGCTGTTCGTGAGCCGGCTCTCTGTGGGAAGGGGTTCTCCTGTAGAAGGAGCAACCAGGTGAGGCTCATATAAGGGCAGAGTTGCTGTCTGGGAGTATCAAGTCATAAAGTAGGGTGGAAGGTATTCCTGATAAAACCTTGAGAAAGTCTTAGGGTAGCACAAAAGGCCTTTAGGAATAAGTATGGAAAGAAAGAAGCCCAGCAGGACAGAGAAGTCTGCAGCCATCACAACCTGGGCAGAATAGATAAGGCCCAAGAAGAGATGGGTGTTTAAAGAGGCTGCTAAGCTTCCACAGAGGCAGAGGAGGAAGGCTATGTAAAGCTAAGCCTGATGACTCCACCAGGGACAGGATGCTGGGCAGAACCATGTCCTAGGCAGGGCCAGCATCATTACCAGAGAGTTGAGGATGGGCAAAGGAGTGCTAAATGAGAGTAACAACTTTGAACCTTACATGGGAACTGTTGCTATTGCTAGAAGAGTAGAAAGGGCAATCTGACTCTGTCTTTCACTCAAAAATACTAAGGTGGGATGTATCCCACACCTGGGAGGATCCTGCATCCTAGGAATTAGAGCAGGGGTCCTCAAACTTTTTAAACAGGGGGCCAGTTCACTATGCCTCAGACCACTGGAGAGCCAGACTGTGGGCCTCGGGATGAGTCAGCTGCTAAGCAGGACAGGCAGCGGTGGCAAAAACACCCCGCGGGCTGCATAAATGTCCTAGGCGGGCTGCATGTGGCCCGTGGGCCATAGTTTGAGGATGCCTGATTTTAGAGTCTCCAACATGGGATAATAGAACACCATCGTTCAAAGGAAAAATTCTAGGAGTCATTCTTAATTCTTTGCTTTCTTTTTTATTATATGTTCAATCCAACAGGTCCTGTCAAGTCCTCAACATTATCTGAAATCTTCCACATTTTCCCCATGTCTGTTACAACCTCATTAGCTCAAGCCACCATCCACTCTCATCTGAATTACTGCCAAGCCTCCTTACTGGTTTCCCTGATTCCATCTTCTAAACCCATTCTCCTATTCTATTCAGATTCAGGTTCCTTTTTTTTTCTTGAGACAGGAGTCCCCCTATGTCACCCTCAGTAGAGTGCTGTAACGTCACAGCTCACAGCAACCTCAAATTCTTGGGCTTAAGTGATTCTCTTGCCTCAGCCACCCAAGTAGCTAGAACTACAGATGCCCACCACAATGCCTGGCTATTTTTTGGTTGTAGTTATCATTGTTTGGCAGACCCAGGTTCTGGTGTATGTGACTGGTGCCCTAGCCATCAAACTACTGGTGCCAAGCCCAGATTCCCTTTTTAATTAACTTTTTTTAAAACTAAAAACCTCTTTTATTAGTACTTTATTCACACAACATAAAATTAACCTTCTTATAAAAAATTTTAACCTTCTTAAAGTTCTAATTAAGTAGCATTTAGGACAGTGTTTTTCAACCTTTTTTTTTTTTTGAGACAGAAACTCACTATGTTGCCCTCAGTAGAGTACTGTAGCATCACAGCTCACAGCAACCTCAAACTCTTAGGCTTAAGAGATTCTCTTGCCTCAGTGCCTGTGGCTCAAGTGGCTAAGGCGCCAGCCACATACACCTAAGGTGGTAGGTTCGAATCCAGTCCGGGCCCACCAAACAATAAGGACAGCTGCAAACAAAAAATAGCCAGGCGTTGTGGCAGGCGCCTGTGGTCCCAGCTATTTGGGAGGCTGAGGCAGGAGACTCACTTGAGCCCAGGAGTTGGAGAAAGAGATTCTCTTGCCTTAGCCTCCCAAGTAGCTGGGAGTAGAGGAGCCTGCCACAAAGCCTGGCTTTTTTTTTTTTTTTTTTTTTGCAGTTGTTGTTTTAGCAGGCCTGGGCCAGGCTCCAACTGCCAGCCTCAGTGTATGTGGCTGGAACCTTACTCACTGAGCTATGGGTGCCGAGTCAACCTTTTTTTTTTTAATCTCACAGCACACTTGAACCTATATTTAAAATTCCATGGCATAAATTACATTGATCCAAAAAAAGAGTAAAAAAATAGAATATACTTACTGTGCTTTGAATGAACGCTTTCCTTACTTTCTTCCTTTCTTTCCTCCCTC